CAGGCACTCGATACGTCAAGCCTGATGGAAAACCCTAAAACCCTAAACCCCTAAACTCTAAAACCCTAAACCCTAAAACCCTAAACCCCAAAACCCTAAACTCCAAAACCCTAAAAGCCCAACGCCGATTTTGCACAAGCTCGCCTTCTCCCGCTCTGGATCCTGCTCCTAGGCGGGAAGCGCAGGAGTCTGTAGACTGTAAGGATTGGGGTTTAGGGTTTTTTTTTTAAAGGACATGTACACTCACCCCACAGCTCTCGCGCACTGGCCAAGATGGCCTTCCAAACTCGCACTGTGCAGACTGGGTTTAGGGCTTTAGGGTTTTACGCCCTCACAACTCGGACAAGCCAGGCGAGGTTCATGGGTTTTAGGGTTTTAGGGTTTTTTTCCCTCTCGCATGGCTAAGGATCTATGCCCACAAGCGTGGATGACTTGAGTACAATGACAAGTGCACTCATGATAAAGATCGGCCCCAACACAACTGGCCCTAAATTTCAAGAACCTTTGGTGTCTAAGGAGCCTGTGATCTCTACCACGGCTACAGTCCATGTCACGGGCACTCGACTACAAAGGGTTTAGGGTTTAGGACCTTTGCTGCAAAAACCCAAACGCCGCACCCTGAGCCGCGGGCATCCCCCGCCTCACTTCGCACTCCTGAGGCCAGGAGACTTGTGGCCGCGATGCTGCGGTAGCTACTGCTGCAGAAGATCCCAGCATTTCGAAGCCAGAAAACCTAGGCCTCCAAACCTCCGCTCGTGCCTATGCAGAAGCAAACAACTTCTGTCTCTTGCCGGGGTTTATTAGTACTATAATTATAATAAGGAACCCCCCAAAACCCTATTCTAATTATTAAGGCCCTAGACACCTGTTTACACATGGACAGAATTATTGCAGCAAAGGCTTCGGCGTTGGCTGGTCCACACTACCCAACTGCTCAGTATCTGAACCTCGGACCAACTATGTTCTCCCCCGGTTCGGCACATCTGTCCTCGCAGTAGTCTTTGTACTGCGCATACCACTCGTTCTGGCAAGTGAGGCGGACCGCAGGCGATGCTTCAGCGATCACAGACGACTCGACGAGATGCGATGGACGGCCCAGCTGCAGAATAGCAGCACCGGAGCTCCTATTACGACCCTCAGAGCCCCTCCAGAATCGAATCTTGTTAACCCCAAACCCTAAACCACCGACTCAGCAGAGATCAAGAAGTGCCTTGCACCCGCAGCGGCTGCAGGTCACCGAGTCGTGTTTCTGGGGGGCTGGGGATTCTTCGCTTGCTGGTCGTTTCGGGAGCCTGTTGTCGAACCCATATTGTCAATACTAGACTAGTAACAACAAGAGTGTTAAAAGTATCAATACTAGTGCTACGAATTGTAATTGTTAATATTATTAGTAGTAATCATGCAAACGCTGAGCTGATACCGATACTACTTCGCTACAGACGATGCCAGTTCCAGTTTCATACCTACTCTGTGACGAAGGAGGCTTCTCTGACTACAGGCCCGGAAATTGGACTCGAAGGCAATCGGGCACAAACGCTCGAGAGTTACCTTAAAATATAGTAATTGGTATAACCGTACTACACTATTTTACTTGTCATAGTGCTCTGATGTCACGGTACTATCTCACGTTAAGCTTCTCGATCAAGGACTCCGGGACTTCGCACCGTAGCTTTCTGTTGCAGGAGACGCTGAGAACATCACAAGCTTCTGTTGCATGATCTGAGGGCCGGTGCCCACCACTGGTCTGCTTTTTCTCGCCTTAAACTTCACACAAAGCTGCAACTTCGACGGGTCATCGTGCACTGTTCCAGCGATGTCTTTTCCTGTCTGGTCCGTGCGCACTTGAAGGCGAACTTAGGCATGCCAAAATTGGGCGCTGCGCGTGGGAGGCAAAATCATGTGCCTGTCCCTTGCTGCTTGCTCAAGCTCCGCCATTTGTTTCTCCCTCTGTGATGCATTGGCCCTTGCTCCTTTGCGTGCCGTTAACAATCCCCGCCAGTGGCCTGGGTGGTGCTCCTCATTCATGCACCGCTGCGGAAGCCAAATTTTCGACAACATCCGTGGATGGTGGAATACGCATCCCTACTCAAGCTCCTGGCATGATCTTACAAGGTGTCCACGCCCGCAGAGTGTGCTCTCTCACGCCACTTGTCTCCGATTTCAACTTGGCAGTGACAGGCAAGGTAGTGCAATTGGTCGGGCTTGGGCCAACCGGCACTAACTTCGTGGTTTCCACCGTCTACAGAAGCCCAGCCGACATGTAACTTCCGTGCTATGCTTAACCCTGCGGCGTGCATGAACCCAACAGTTCACTTGCCGAAATGAGCCAAGTTTCAGATAGTCGATGTTGTAGCGGAGGTTGTCGGCCTACGTGCTTGACCGGGGGCGGCTGTTTCTTCAGAGAGCTTGAAAACACGTCTTGGCTGTCTCTGTTAGGCCTCGGCAATGACTCTTTCCCCTTTTTTGAACCCAGACTCTGCCAATCAGCTGGGAATCTTTCCCTAAACACTGAACCGTTTTGGCTCTTCTACTTCTTCGAAGTGAGCAGCTTCTACTACTTTCTGGGGCGGGCGCTGCCATCGCCAGACTCCTATCCCACGAGACACAAACATATGGCGGACGCAAGAAGAATAAAACTCCTTACCAACTATCTAGGCCTCCTAGACCCGTTGCAAGAGCGTAGAAAAAACCTAAATGCACCCCGCTAGAAAGCAGGCCGCTCCTGTCGTCACAGCATCTGATGAACGTGCCAGGACCCAGCTTGAGACATGCGGAGAGGAGGAGGGCCCCTGAGACGTCGGAGAACTGTTGAGCCCTTGGCCGCCTGTCGGTCGCGTAGCTGCTGAGTTCATATTCTGTCTCTCGCTCTCTCGCGCGGATATTCTATATATTTTTTTTGCCTAGGGTTTCGACTCACACACTCGCAAGGCAGGCATGGCAGGCCTAGGGTTTAGGGTTTAATAAGCCAAAAAGTTTATAAAGTGTACTCATTCAGCTACTAAGGTCAGGGTTTTGGGGTTCAGGCGGCTTCGGGTTTCAAGCTTTAGGACCTTTCTCAGCAACTTACGGAATTTCGGGGTTTTGGGAGTCTTCGGGATTCGGGGTTGGGGGCTTCGGCACTAAAGGGTTTAAAAAGGGCTGATTGCACCCAGCAGTGGATTTCAGAGCCAGAACAGGAGGGGCCGCGGCCTTTGATGTTGTAGTGGTCTTCGTGCCAGCATTCTTGAACATGGACAGGAATCGAACTGAAAGGAAGGCTAGAGCACTTGACATTGATCTCCTCGCCTGTGACAGAACTCTTCCAGATGGTTTCATCAATGATGTGCTCCGACTCTCCACTTTCAAGCTTGGCCAAGGTCATGAACTCGCTCTCCATTGCCAGAAGTGCCCACTGTCATGTCCGGTTGACAGCATGGGCTGCATCATCGTATGCATCCCTGTTCTGGGAAGCAAAAGTCAACCTCCTCGTCGTCCCCAAGATGCATGAAACACAAGTCTGCAGTTCAGTATCTTATCCCTGTAACATCTACTGGCAACACACACTCGAGTTGAAGCCGCACATTGCACAGCTGATGCAATAAGCTCACACCCGAGTGAGTCCAGCAAGCATCTGAGAGTGCCCGTCGTTGCCGGGCCGGTCGACTGCTTGAAGGATTAATATCATGGTATGGTATAGTATGCCAGAGTTGCAGAAGAAGATGTCCGAGACGCCAAATGCGAAATGCTTGGCTTGGCACACAGGGAACTTGGTGCCCGAAGAGATTGCCAACTCTCGTGTCGCTGTGCGGCACCGGCGTCATGCTGGACGACATAGTTCTGCTCGTTCCAAGACATGTCGGATAGCTTGGGTTCCGGCGACACCTCCGAGGCATGCAACAGCATCCCAGCATCACGACATGGTGCGCTGGAATCTGATTGGGTAGCAGTCTCCAGCACGAGCAAGGGCTCGCAATATCCTCTTCCTTCTCATCCACGCGCAGAGTCTCGCGACGAAGCTTGCGACGAATCTTGCACGCGCTCTCGCGGTGAAAAGCATCCAGGGCCAGCGCGTGCAACTTCCCCATCCCGTACATGTTTGCCTGGAGTTCGGGCAGGCGAAAACTTCTCTTGCATGAAAAGAACGCAGCACTACAGACCTCCGGCCAAAAAAACATATTGCATGGTGACCTTCGGAAAATGCTACGAAATTATGCTCGAGCGGCCCTGTGCCACCTCTTGCAGCTCTGGTTGGGCCAAGGGCACGGAGAGGGCCTTGGCAGACCATTTTGGATTTTGGGGCTTTGGGTTTGGGCTTGCGCTAAAACTTTGTTGCACATTGGGTTTGATGGCATTTTTGCACAAGTTTCTGCCTCCAGTGGATCGAAGCCGCTATGCCGGGCATGGCGTCACGGCATTCGCTGCAATGCCACTCCGACGCATTCCGAGGACAGCGATGTGCGCAGCAGCCCGGTTCCTGCCATCGATCGCAGCCGCAATGGGGAGGGTCAAGGATGAGCTGTGAAGGCTCACGGGTGAGGAGGTTCACCTGGTCCCTCTGATCGCTTCACACAATCAGGTCCTGAATGCCACGAGGGCCCGGTCGCTTACAGGAGAACGGCGGAGTAGAGCCCTGCGGTGCCATCAGGGCCCTCGTCATTGAACACATACAGAGGCTCGAACTCTTCAGGTTTCAGGTGCCAAAGGAAGGGGTCCAGAAATAATAGCTTGAAGATGGACTCTTGTGTACCCGAAAGCAAGTGGGCAAGGCACCTTTGGGCTCCACGGCGAATGGGCAGCTCGAACACGATCTTCAGAACCAGTCCATGCTTATTCGACCACAAGCAGTGGGCTCCATGATCCTCGTGGCCAGTGCGTCCATTCGCCAAGACCATCCATGCCAAAGTCATCACCAGGTCGCCCACCTTCAACTGGCCAGCTGCACGGTGGATGCTCTCCTCCCGCTCGCTCGTTGCAACCAGGTAGTCCGAGGTTACCTGCAGCGGTGTCCCCGACGAAATTGTTCTCTTGGCTCCGCTTATGGATGGCCTTGGAGATCCCTGTGTAGAGGGACAGGAAGCTGCCCGAAGATGAGGCCTTTCTTTTCAGATTCTTGGCCACAGCACACAGCGTCATGTCGTGATGTGGATTACTCTTGATGTCGAGAGCAAAAGCCTTCCCACACGCTCGCCTCCACAGCCAGGCATGATATCCGCCGGCAGCTACATGACATCGCGCTGACGAAAGTGCTTGTTAAGCACACCACCTCGCCACCCGCCTTCTACCGAAGCATGAGAGCTTCCCGGCTTGAGCCACATCCCCGAATTTTTTGTCGAAGGAATCGGGGGCCTCTGCGAAAGCTCATACGTGGCGATCCGGTGCCTTCAACCATTTGTGGACTCAGGTGCCTAACATGTGCCGCGATGCCAGCTGACAGACGCCTTTAGCTGACAGGCTGACTGGCAGGGCTCTATGCGCCACAAAAGAAATTCCGCCAAGTTTATATGGGTTGCCAACCACTCAAATGACCCAAACATGTGCTTACAACGCTGAGACTGTGCATGACTCTGACCGTGCATGACTCTGCCTGCTCTCCGAAGATGTCGCTGGTCTCCATCTCCTTCCAGGGAAAGCTAGAGTGCATGCAGGAACACGAAAAAAGCCCTTGCTCATACTCCATGCAGGTGCTTCCGTGATCTGACGCTGTAAACGTCCTTGCTCATACTCGAAATCAATGGCTTCCGTGATTTGAGCGCTTCACCGCCCTTGCTCATGTTCGGAATCACTTGCTCCCGCAATTTGAGCGTGTGAGCGTCCTGGCTCATACTCCGCGCAGGTGCTTCCGCGACTTGGCATATTCAGCGTCCTTGCTCACACTCGAAGCCAGTTGCCTCCGTGCCCAGATCTGAGCACTTCGATGTCCGTGCTCATACTCAACCCAGGATTTGATGCCGCCAACGTCCTTGCTCATACTCGAAATCAAGTGAATAGCTTCCGTGATCTGAGCGTGTCACTGTCCTTGCTTACACTCAACGCAGGCGCTTCCGTGATTTGAGCTTTTCATCGCCCTGCTCATACTCAAGGTCAGATGCTTCCGTGATTCGAGCCTTTTGATGCTCTTGATCAGAGCCTGCCTCCGCCCTTGCCCAGACTCAAAAATCCGGTGCAGTGGCTCTGAAATTTGAGCCTGTCAGGGCCGTTGCTTGTACTCGAAGTCAAACAGTGCGTCCGTCATGCATGTCTGTCCGCCCCAGCTCATGCTACAGATCTAAGCTTCCCAGAGTTGAGACTCTCAACGTCCTTGCTAATAGTCCTTCTCTCGTGATCTGAGCCTTCATCGGGGAAATCGGGCTTAGGGCTAGGTTATTACTGGTCTGTTACATGAATGGTAGTTTCCTTTCCTTAGTGATGCTGTTTGCTTGTTGCTGATGTCAGGCACAAACCACTACGACTACTACGATTACGACGACTACTACTATTGCTCCTGCCCCTGCTCCTGTTGCAGCTGTTGCTCGGCCGTCGCGAAGATGACGTCCGCCGATCACCTTTCAGGGAACATGCCCAGATACGACCTTGAGCTCCACGACAAGGTTTGCGCTGTCTGTAACAGGCCAAAGTATTCTCCTGTGATCTTTCTGGGTATGGCAGCCTCTGCCATACAAAGCACCCGCCTCCCCTTGACTAAATGCGGAAGATGCTATGACGAGGTCCTCCACAGCTGAGAGCCACTCGGACACTGAAAGAGCTATCATGCCTCAGCTTTCGGAGCATTAGCGCCAGCGCCCTATGTCAAGGCTACGGCGTTTTTGCGCTCTGTAATCTCATCTGTGCATGTGAGACCTTTCTCTCAGCTCTTGCCATCATGTGCAGAACTTGGTGTACTTAGTCCTCAACCTTAAACCCCGGTCCTAAACCCATCTAAACCCTCTCACCCCTAAATTTGAGTCCCGGACCGCGCGGATCTTGGTTCTGGAACTGTTTCTTTGCGAACGCCAAGGCCTCCCGCGGAGGTTTGTCCAAGAACCACCTGGCAATGGCCCGCTTGCTTTAGGGTTTAGGCTTTAGTGCCTCTCAGTGAGTCTCAGTAGTTAGTAGAACTCAACGTTGGGTTTGGGGCCTCGGGTTCGAGGGACTTGATGCGTGGGGCTCGGCTCTTTGCAGCTGGAACCCGGGTCAGGGTTTAGGTTTTTTTTTTCCTCCCACTTAGCAAGGACGAGCCCGCATTGCAGGGTTTAGGGTTTAGGGCACATTCTGGGGCAACGGCCACGGCTCGAGCCACTTGCCGCTGAAGTGGAACCTCGGAATCAGGAAGCCAAGCTGCAACGCTGACTGTGGAACCGAAAGATATCCATCAGCACTGCCGAGGGATGAGCGGTCAAGGTCCCTCATACCAAGATCTCACATCTTGGCGAATCCAGCCCTTTCACAACTTGGTCTGCCCTGCTGACTTCCGAGCTACGCAATGCCAGCTGAGGGCCTTGCATAGCCACCTTCTCACGAAGTTCATCCTGATCGGCTCTTAGTCTTCAAAAAAAGGATAGTTCCCTAAATTAGGGTCCCTGTTTAGGTCCTAAATAGAGTACGCAGCACACTTATAAAAGGACCCTACAAGGAACTACCCAAGAGAAGAACGATTACTTACTACTATGGCTTCGACCAACCCGGCCTAAAACCCTCTTTGCAACTGGGCTTGGGGACCAGCCAGATCCTTGCATCACGGCCTTTCTCACGGCCTTTCGTGTTCACCCAACTCTGTGCAGGCGCAAAGCTCTAAACCCTAAACCGTCAGCTACTATTCGGATGAAGCATATGGCCGTGTGTGTAGTCAGTCTTCGCAGTGTTGGTATACAGTACTATCACCGTCTTTCTGTCGGTCCCGGGGCAGTTGGGAAAAACTGCCGCAGCAAGGCTGCAAAGTGAGCCTTTTGAAAGAACTCAGCAGCCTAAACTCGAGATTTTCGGCTGAAGGCCAGAGATGCTGATTGCAATTGCAGCCAAGCTGTTGTCCCTTCGCAGTATCAACAGAAAGCTGCGACAACACATGGTGTTTGGACGCCGTTCATCGTTCTGAGCAAATGCGCTGTGCCTTAGTATAGGGGCAAAAATAATTACCAACACTATTTCGGGGTTACTTGTTATGATTATAGGATTAACACACCCCCAAATCCTATTCTAAATTACCAAATACAACCCTTGTATAGATCACCCTTCAAAGAAGCCCAATTTCCAATCTTCAAGGCCCCGAGTACCACGGTGGATGATATACATCCTGCAGTACTCATAATATAAGGAATATACCATAATTCCCATAGTTTTTAGAGTCCTTCAGGTAATGCAGGATTTATATCATCAACAGCATCATAACTTATATGACTTATATGGATTCCCCTTCAAAGGAGCCCTGCTCTGATTTCGAAGGCCCCTATAGCTGTCCTCGCTGTCCCCGAGCTGCAGCCAATCTTTGGGCATCTCTTCGTCCGCAGTGACGAGGCCCTTGCCGCGCCTTAGCTAGGGTTTAGGGGTTTAAGGGTTTAGGGTTCGGGGGGTTTAAGGGCTTAGGGTTCGGGGGGTTTAGGGGTTTAGGGCCTAGGGGTTTAGGGTTTGGGGGGTTCAGGGTTTTTGGGGGTTTAAGGGTTTCGGGGTTTAGGGTTTCAGAGTTTAGGGGAACAACATAAGGCCCCGCCTGAATGGCCTCATTCTGCAGCATCATGGGTGCCCGGAAATGGATTGGCAATTGAAGTGACATTTATAGTCATATTATCCCAAAAAGTTTAAAGTGTAGTAAGGATGCCCTTGACCAGGATCTCTTGCTTCTCCTGACAGCCTGGACGCCACTGGCCGGAGCCAGGGCGAGCGCAAACCCAACAACCCCTTGATGTGAAGACCACTCTTCAACTGCAACCGGGTCGAGGCGGACGACCCGATCCGTTTACAATAACAGAATCCCGGCGGCGTGTCCATGTGGCGCATGGGGTTCACCTGCCAGCAGAAGTCTCCGCAAATCCAGAACGAGCCATAACCGTGTCGCTTGCGACCAAACTGTGAACTTGACACCGGCTGCTAGACATGATCCATCCCACGGCTCACATGTTATCAGCCCAAGGGATTCAATTTAAGTTACCATAATAGGGATCTATAGTAACAAAATATGGTTACCCTATTATGGTAGTGCCTCTCTTGAGCGGCCTTATGGCATCGAAGATCTTTTGGTACACATCACTTCATTTCTACACCCGACCTGTGCTGCAAAGGCCGGGCAAATACATGTTCCGATGGAGCTGCTCTCTCTTCGCACCCCACCATGCATCGTCCACCACAAAAAAAGCAGGACCGCAACTTTGCGGGGCGTCTAGGGAAAAAGACCTAGCTAGGCTTTCCATCAAAGCAGAGACTCTCTTCGAGATCGGGTTGCGCTGGCCTCACAGTTCCACTTGACTTCTATGTGTCGCCACACCGGCAACTTCTTGACCAGGAAGTACCTGCGCCCCCGAGGGTATAAGATCGTTGAGGAAGCATGTCCCCGGCCGGGTGGCAGCACCAACCATAAAGATTCCTATCAGGTCCCTATTCGAGCTATGAAGGCCCCCTTCCCAACCCCTCAAGAAACCCTCATCGAACCCTTGTAAGCTCCCTTAAAAGGCGCCCTTAAAGGGCCCTTATCTTGGAACTAAGCTCAAGCAGTAAATTGCCTTACAGGCATCCTTCAGGGTGTCCTTTCTGGGAGTTAGGATTTTAGGATTAGGGGGATGCTTTGGGGATATAGACCCTCTCAATAAGGTCCCCTTTAACAGAGCCATAAGTTAGGTTAAGAAGGGTCCCCTTTAAGGGTCTCCCTAATACTACGGTTGATGGTATAAATCCTGCATTACCCACAAAAAGGCGTATACCAGGATTCCCACAGTTTAGGGTT